TATCAACTTCTTTATTTATTGTAATTTAGATTTAATTGATTGAACAATCATTGGTTGAATAGCCGGGTGGTAATATTTGTTTAGGTAATGATTTACATTAAATTTATTATGAATTATAGAACCGCTAGTTACCCGATTACTTGTTCTGATTTCGACGGGAAAGGGCGCGTGTCTAAAACCCCCTATCGGCTATTCTTCAACATCCAAAGCGTAGTTTGGATCCTACAGAAGGTTCATCGAATTCCTGATGGTACTTCGTTTACCGAGTTGTGAAGGATCCGTTCATCTAGGATGTTTAAAGGTCAAAGAGCTTGAGATTGCCAAGCGTAAGATTTTATTGATGGTCCAGAGAGAAGTGTATGGAGAATTACTTAGTGAATTTAAGAACAGTAGTAAAGTAGTAAGCCATGATGATCTGAAAGGTTTATTGTTGATGATGCTTGATGGGTTACTCTGCGTTGGAGGTCGACTAAGATACTCAGATTTCCCAAATGCTTTTAAACATCCAGTAATTTTACCCAGTCGACATTTAGTGACGGAAATGATAGTTAGACATTGTCATAAAGAACAAGGACACATAGGAAGATCATTAGAAAAAGGGTATGGATATGTGTTTACTTGTTTGCAAACATGGGCAGTACATATTGAAATGATGTGTAATTTGATTACTGATTCATTTTTAATGGCTCTATTACGTTTTATTGGAAGAAGAAGGAAACCTCCAGAGATTTACAGTGTCAGTGCGTCAAGCTTCGTGGGGACAGTTTTTGAGTTAGGCAAGTTTGTGCAGCAGTCGAATCAGAAGATAAACATTGAATTGTCAGCGAGGCCCTCATCCAACAGCATGGGTGGAGTTTGGGGAAGAGTGATTAGGCCTATATCACGACTGTTATTGTTGATCACCAGAGAACAGGTGAAGCAGGTCTCCTTGAAGCTTTGGATTAGTCTTTGTTGTTATTAATGTAGTTAGGTCGAGTAGGCGTACTGTTGTAAGTCCTACTCGTTCCTATGGTGTGATATGTTATATAATGAACCATGACCGTAGGCGTCAAGGTAGCTTGTGTGGTATGGAGGGATTTTGGGGACCGGTGTAAGATCCATTTTGAAGGTTTTATGTGTTGGTGAAAATCCCTCCATGTATATACTTGTACTTTATTCCTATTGATCGCATTAGTTGTACATTGTTGTATTTTGATTACATTTGAATTGTTAATATTTGTATTTTTGTTATAGTTTTTGTTTTTATTACGCATTCACTAAGTTTGTGTTTCTTCCTGAACTGCATCTGCGTTGTTTTACTTGACACTTGTTCTTGGCGGTAGCCATATTGATTTGTTCCTCCTGTTGTGTGTGATCTATCCAGCCAGGATAGAATAACGGTGATTTGTTGTGATTGATTTAATTGATTAAACAATCATTGGTTGAATAGCCGGGTGATAATATTTGTTTAGAACCGCTAGTTACCCGATTACTTGTTCTGATTTCGACGGGAAAGGGCGCGTGTCTAAAACCCCCTGTCGGCTATTCTTCAACATCCAAACCGTAGTTTGGATCCTACACTAATGACGAAGTAGACCCTAGTTCTACAGGGCCATAATATTTGACACTAGACTGTTTGTCGGTCACGATCATGAAGTCAGTAAGAAACAGTGAGGATTACACACATATTATCAAAAGAATCAGGTAAGCACAATCTGTTATTCAGCTTGACACCCCTAGAGTCTTATCTTAACCCCAACACGTCGCCACATACATACAAAACATTCGGTATTGAAAAAGTCTCTTACCTGGTGTCTATGTGTGTGTGAGAGAGGGAGAGAGTTAAGGAAAAGCCTGAAGACGGCACAAGCATTCAGTGTTTGACAACGCTTTTACAAGTAACACCTTCTTATATAACTCGTACCCACCAAGTGAAATCAAAAGACAGAATCGACGAGGCCGTTAAACATTCGTAGTTGCTTAATCGTGGTCGGTTCTCAGTAATCCAGAATTGCCGCCACTTTGGTCCTAAGGGGTCGAATGCCTTGAGCATCTATAGTGTGTCCTAGGAAATCTAATGAGTCAGTTCCGATTTGACATTTCTGAAAGTTTACGGTAATGCCATGTTTTTGTAGTCGGTCGAAAACAAGATCCAGACGCTTGAGATGTGATTCTCTGTTCGGACTTGCGATTAAGTCGTCAACATACGCATTTACGAAGTTTAGACCTCGGAAAACGTTGTCTATGAATCTTTGGAATGTTTGAGCAGCATTTCTTAGATCGAAAGGCATTCGCAAAAATTCATAGAGTCCGAAGGAAGTAATGATGGCGGTTTCCGGTATGTCGTCAGTAGCCATAGGGATTTAATTATACGCTTTAACCAGAGCGATTTTCGAAAAAAACAGTTGTACCTTTCAAGGTAGCTGTCAAATCGTGAATGTGAGGGAACGAGTAACGATCAAGTATGGTTTTTGCATTCAATCGCCGATAGTCACCAGTTGGACGCCAATCGTTACTGTCCTTTTTAGGGACCATGTGCAACGGAGATGCATTGGGCTGTTTGACGGTCGTATGATTCCTAAGTCTATCATCTGATCGAACACGTTTTTCGCTAACCTTAGCTTTTCGGGAGCTAGTCGTCGTGCTTTAGAGAATACAGGTGGTTCTGTAGCCGTGATGTGGTGTGTAACGTTGCTGGTTACACACGGTAGTTTCGGTTGAGTTTGTTGTATCCCAGGGTACTTATCGAGTAGTGGTTGATAGAGTGGGTCTATCGTATGCTTAACTATGACTTGGGATAATCTGCAACCAGAAAAAGAAGTTACGCAAACGGACAAATTAGTGTTTCCGTTCACTAGCCTATGTTTGCGCGTATCGATGATCAGATCATGGTGTTGTAGAAGGTCCATACCAATGATTGACATAGAAACATCTGCAACAACGAAAATCCAGTGGATGGGTTTGCGTAAACCTACGTTAAGGTAAACGTACCTTTTGCCATACGTAGCGATCGGTTTTCCGTTTGCCGCCTGTAAGTTTAGGGTCGATTCGTGTAGTCGGTCGTTAGGATTTGCTGGGAGAACGCTAACTTCTGCGCCAGTATCGACGAGGTAGCGAACTCTCGTTGTCACATCTGTGACGTACAACAGACGGCTATGTTCGCCGGCTACGGTTGCCGTTAACGCGTGCCGGCTTGGAAGTTTCCCAAGTTGTTTTTCGAGTCAGTCGGTTTTGAGATGGGAAAATTGCGGGGTTTTCTGCAATTTCTGGACGACTTTCCATACTGGTTGTGATACCAACACCAGTCAGGATTATCCGTCTCTCGTGGTCCAGAGACAGATCGCTTACGTGAAGTGCTTCTACGTGGGGTGTGTGATCGCTTACGGTCGTTACAAAAATTAAGTTAACGTGTAAGTGTATGACATAACTCGGTTATGCCATTCTGAGTCGTTTGAGGCTTTTTTTGACGTAAAAACCTCGGTAGAAGATCTCGTAATTTCTAAAATGCGATCGGCAGATGCAGCCAGTTCGTCTAAGGCGTTGTTCTGAAACGAGACTAGAACCGCTTGCACCTGTTGGAGAGGTTTGGACAAGAAAAGTTGTTTGAATAGGCCTTCGTCGAAAGTTCTTAGTCCTATAACCTCTCTCATCCTTTGCAACATGTCCGTCGCAGAACCGTGTTGCAGGTCTATGTTATTAAAGAGTTGGTCTAACATTTATCAATCGGTTAGGTCTCCTCGTTTAAGGATGGAAGGCTTTAATGTTTCGTACGGTTCAGAAACATCGCTAGAAAACATACTAGGTGTTACGTACCTGTTGAATTCCCGCGGTAGTGCCTTGACTACTGAGAGGAATTGTGCACGTGTGTCGTTCACGCCGTGCTCGTGGAAGTCGGCTTCTGTGTAGCAGAACCAGGCTTCGATATTGTCGGGCCAGAAGGGCATGAGCCGGAACGAGGGTGGGAACATAGTCTTAACCTTAAATACCTTGGTGGTCTGTTCAGCCATAGGGGAAAATTAAGCACTAGAATACACGAGTGAAAAATATATAGATATCCCGAAAACGCGGGGAAAAAATATCACAATGTATAAAAAATTAAAATAAAGCAATGATATATAGAATCCCAAAATGGGACAGACTCACAGTTTACGATTTGGTGTACCAGATCACGTTAGGCTCACCAATGAAGACGGCACAGATATTCAGTGTTTGACAACGCTTTTACCAGTAACACCTTCTTATATAACTCGTACCCACCAAGAGAAATCAAAAGACAGAATCGAGGAGATCAGAAGTTGTATTTGACGATTGTCAGTATATCGGAATTATCTGACCTAATCTGGCTAGCGATTGCAATAGTAGTTGAGCACGGTGTTCCCACACGTGATCTGGTGCGGATGCATGACCGAGCGCCTTCAGCTAGGTGAGTCCATTAAAACTAATCTGGTCAGCATCCAATGTCGAAAACTTACAGAGCTATTTATTTTGGGGATTTATTTACCGCTACAAGGCAAAACACGTTTACTTAAATCTCCGCCTTAGCACTCCTCTTCAAAAAGGACGCAAAAACGATTTCAAAACAATGGTAGATCTAGGTGGTTTTTGACCCTACCTCCTCGATTATTTTATTTTTTGTATGTGGACGTAGTATTCGTTTATGTTATTTAGCATGTTACGAAATCAGTCTACCCTCTCAACAATCCAACGGGAAATACAAATCACGGCGTACATAAGACCGGTGTTGAGTCATAAAAAAATCCAAGATCTTTGATTGGGGTGAGTGGTATACAGGCTACGCCTGTGGCGCTGAGATCTTGGATTCGCACCCCTGAAAAGTCAGACACTTCAACGTAAAAAAGTACCCCATATTCTTCAGTTTCTTTTTAAGTCATGTCAACCCTTAATTAAAACCACGACAATCGAACAAATTTTACAACTGCTTTATATTACCAATAATAAGTATTGAAATGAGGATGGATAACCTCGTTTCTTCGGAACGGTGACCTTGGTACGTTACGTAAATTCGTTTTGTGGCTCTTTTGTACAATCGGTTCGTGTAGACTGATTTACTTGTCTTAGAGTAAGAATTTCACATCTGATTGATTTTTACTATTCTTTAAGTTGTGAAATCTCAATCACTCAATGCAGTTAATGAAAACATTAACACTTGGATGATGACTTAACACCTAAAGTCCTCTATTTATTATATGAGCTTGAATTATGTTAGAGGGCTTTGGTCCAGTTACTCCATAATTTGTTAGACTCCAATGAGTTCCGCGTAGACAAGTGGGTTTTCGGTTCATAATCAGAAGACTAAAAGATTCTTACCAGTTTTTGCGTATGATTTGTCTCTCGAATAGATCAACTATGGTAATAATCCATCCGATAGTTGGCCAGCCAGTGAGAAAATCTGTGTGCCAGAAGGTATGCAATTGATAGATTCTTCTGTATTTTAATCAAAGTCTAGTTAAGGAAAACAGTTTAACTCGAGTTGAAATATATTTCTTGGAATCCGTTACCAAAATTCAAATCGTTCATTTTTTATCAACCCGAGCATCTCGTCAGTCTTGCTCATAACAATCTTTTGGGCTCGTAATTTGTCAGTTATTAAGTAAGGGCTTGAAACGTTTTAACCCTAGAAATTATATGTAAACAGCAGTATGGTTCGGAAAGAAGTGATGAATTCGGAAAGTTAAAAGTACGAAATAGTATTGCAATTCAAAATCGAGCAATACATAAGGTTCCAGTACATCTGCGTCATCACACTCAAGGTCGTTAGCCTCTGATCACGGTTATAGTGCGAATACAACGTGATTGTCTGCACTTTCAGTCTGTGGTTTGCCATAATTCTCAGGTTGTTGTGAGCGGAAACTGAGACCTATCTTGATTGTTCACCACATATTTGATAAGTAGTGATGATTGTTGATTTTCCTTCATTATGTTTATAAAACATGAATGCCTAAATAATTTTATTTCGTTGGAAGATAAAACGGTTTCTTTACTATTTATGGGCAATGCTGCATGTTGACTCAGGTTGTATTAGTGCGAATATAGAGAATTTACGTTCAAGATATTTTGAAACTTATATTTTAGGGAGGTGACTTACTGACAGCTATTAGTGCAGAACACATTTGGCAGTTTTACAGCCTGGTTTCCTTATTTTTTGACAAGTTTTCGGACTTCATTTTTGTTGAAGTGGTGTTTCAACTCTTTTGTCTTGCTAATCTTCAGGGTCAGAGTTTGTGATTCAGTACATGGATCCTTTTCAAAAGCGAGATAAAATTCCACGGACACCACCTGGTCAGTCTTTTGTGGACAGATCTTACATCTTTGATGGTACAACAAATGGTGACTGTTCTATTTACGACGAGTCGGGTAATCGGAGGACTTCTGTTTTTGATACAGCTAGAAAATACACTCTCACTTTTGATAACTATGGGAACACAAGGTAGGTTTTTCAACGTTATGAATAACTGACTGATTGACTTTCTCCCTAATTATGATATTTATTCCTGATGATAATAAGTTTTTTAGTTGTATTTACTGTCTTAACCTTTTACTACTTGTCTTTCTCACCTTATAACTTAGCCTTCGAGCTTCATGTGACATAGTTTCACTCGATATTTCTTTGTCACTGAAACCAAATAGAATTTCTAGAATCGGTGATTTGCAGACAAGTTCACATATGGCATCCTCTAGACAGTATGGATTGTTCACATCATCACCTGTTAATGAGTCTACTCCCCGTCCAACTAAATATCCCCAGGTGTGTGTTTTCTTTTATCGTGGTTCTTATATAATGTTTGTATTTAACCTTAAATCCAACGGTTTATGGGTCTTTGAAACTAATAGAAACTTGATTGCAAAAGTACAAAAACGGAAACCTAAGAGAACATGTTCAGATTGTACTAAGTGCTTCATACTTAAATGAAAATATGAAAAAGAATAGTAAACAATGTAAATTAGCCATACAGATCATTTTTTATCATTTCTTTGTGAAAATTCATTTTAGAAGGAATGTAATGAACAAACAGTTGCTAATTACACATCTCTAGATAAGGAGAATATTTCACCATCCAAAGAAGTATGTCCAGAGATTGCTACGGTTAAAAAGTGTCATGCCAAGAGAAAACGTGAAATTTCACCTGATAGTTCAGTCGTTAATTCATCGGTTCAATCAACTTTTGCCGTTCCTTCGACAGTTCGGCAGCTTCGACCCAGACGCAAGGCAACTCCTGTCGTCAGTGACCAGTCATTGTCTCATCAGTCTGAATGTTTAGTGATGACGAAAAGTGCCCAAAAGAATCCAAATATGAGGTCAACAAAAAGGTAAGATTTTGTGTAACATGATCGTCACAAAGTCCCATAAAAATGTAAGTGATGTCTGCACAAATTTAGAAGAAAGAACTAGGTAAGGGTGTCTAAGGCAAACGTGAAGTAAGTCCATGAAACCATTGGCTATTGAACTAAGCTATGCATATAGGTACATACTACCTAGTTGGGCTCCATGCGATTATTGTGACCAAGGGTTAGAGACTGAGTGACTTGACTCAAAATCGTTCAAAATGGTCCTCATGTAGGTTCCAAGTCTTAATTATTCACTGCACGAATCCATATTTTCTTTTCGAACGATATCTTGTATGATTCATCTTTGTCACCTCTGTTAATGCTATTTCCGCACATACCATTGTCACATCTGGTTATGCTGTTGTGGTGTGCAAACTTGAACCGACGCACACATGTCTTATGTTATGTTCAGCTAACTAATTCATTCACCCTACATGTAAAATTTATTCTGTAAAGCTTATCATAAATATAACTGATCTGATTAAAGTAAAATAATTTGATATATTTGATTCGTTTAAGCAAACGAACTAATTCGTCTCATCTGTCTGAAGTAATGAATTCCCCAGTAGTCATTGCCGATCCTGTAACCCCTCCAACACTTGTTCCTCGACACAGGCGATTACAGCCAGCCAATACTCAGAGAAAACGACGTGCGAATGTTAGCTCTTCATCTACTTTGGATCACAGCAAAATGTCAACCTCTAATTCAACTGAAAATGACTCAACTATTCATCAGCCATCTACTGTTCGGGTATGTTGGTACCTTTTTAAAAAAAACTATTTCTTTTTGCATATCGTACTTTAAGTTCCAGTCATTCGGAGGTTGATTATGAATACAGTGGTCTTGAGTGCTGTTAGAGGTATGAGGGCGGTTATCACTTCCCGGTTGCCCACACTGTGAAAGGGTTGTTCTGGAGGTACCTGAAAAGGAAATTGGATTACAGGTGGTTTTAGTGATCTGGGAGTGTGACCGCAGTGCCCAAGGGACAACTGCTTGAAATCAATCACACACGACCTTTTTATGGGTAATTTTTGTGTTAGCTCCGTACTTATTGAGACCTTACCGCCGGAGACGGATATCCGTAGGATAAGGCGAGGTGTGCATTTTTAGGGTCGACCGTTTCTGACCCCACCCCTCCTTGTGGGAAGGCAGCATCGCTGTCATGCTGGTTGTCTGAAGGAAACACCTTACTGCTGTCACACCTCTGTACAGTCAGCAGTACGACTTCGCCTTCGGACCTTGGGTTTGTTGCTTTTAGTCTTACCGCTCTTCAACCGACCTGTCTGACATGGTAGGACCTTGAGGAACAGTTGTTCCAGCCAGTATAGCTCGGTTGCTTCATCACGATAGGTAAGCCCGACCACCACGTCAAGGTAACAACAACGGTCGGGAATTTAAGCTTCAGTATTCGTCAGATAGAATTAAAAATTAGTCACATCTTAAAGATTGTTTTGTAGTGATCCAGTAGTCTGAATCGGTTTTGAAGTACGCTGAAGTGATTTCAAATGGTCACATCTCAAAATTTAAACATCTTGATTCCATTGGTATAGTTGTGAATCGTCATCGACTGAGGTTGTTGGGACATGCGTTACTCATACCCGATCATCGTCTGTCTCAATGTAATATCGGTTGATGTAGTAATAGGTTGGAGAAAAAGTGGGACCGGTCAGATCAAAACGTGACGTCAGTCCACAAAATAATTGATTATTGTTCTAATCCTGGTTGAGTCCACCCGATCACCACGATTAACAATTAAGGACATGGAGTGATGTAGCTCAAAATCGGTTTGCATAGTGAAAATGGATTCAGTTTTCGCCTGTCTATTGGTTCTGGTTTTTAGAGTTTTCGTATACTTTTTACCTCGCTAATTCATAGCTAAAATGATAAAGCAGTCGTACTATAGTGAGGGGTATTAATCATATAAATGTGCGTGGCCATGTGATAGCATTTGAAGAGGGAGAGTGGACCCTCTTTTTGAATAACCGGTTGTTTAAATACTGCACTATTTTATATTTTCTGATTTATTTTTAGAAAAAACCAAGGGTACAAGTCGCTTGTAATATGTGAGTCTTACCACATGCCGATTTATGATCATAAATTAATTGGTGCATCTATATGTATTGATTGCATTTATTTTCATGGTAGTTTCTTTGATGAAGTGATATAATTCGAAGAAATCACTAAAAACTGGAGTTGTAATGCAACTACTCAGTCCCTTTATTAATTCTAAAGTGTTCTGTTTTGAATCCCACAAGTCCAAATTCAGTACCGCCATATTTTTCGAAAATAACATGTGTATTAATCATTGTATTATATTCTAGGATTTATTCGGTGTATGCATTTAGCAATCGGAACCTTCATATTAATATGAAAAAACCCAAAGGTCCCTAGTTCTCTGCATAGGGTTTGATTGATGATCGTTGCTGTGATGCTACAGACTAGGATTAAACTTATATTTCTTCATTAATGGACGGACTATCATGTTTATCTCGCATCTTTAAAAGGTAAATTTCTGTACGTGTTCTCACTTATTTAATACATACAAAATCTGGTACAAATGGGCATCAAAAACAGCATACACCACATAACACACAGATATAACATTTCAAAGAAGAAAGGAAGGAAAGAGAATACAATCAGGATAAAAAACACTAGTGATACTACCCCTAACTGTCCAGATCGAAGTAGGTATTTGGGGTGAATGTTCTAAGCTTCGACTCAAAGCTATCCAATGGTGTTTTAACAAGTAATACAGTGCTCCATGTCTATATAAAAAATCATCACCAAATTTTACAACTATAAATCAAATAAATATCCATAAGATTGTAAAACATTATTCTATCAAACACACAGATCACTAATTACCTATGAGAATAAAAATCTCACTTGTTACTCTCAACTTTGTCTTCAATAATTAATCTAATCATATTGATAAAGTATTTCTCACTTCATCCCTAGATATTGAATAAAGCTAATAGTAATAATAAAATAAATAAACTATGAAACTTTAGCAAGTTAACCTACTAAAACAACAAGGGAAGTTTTCAAATTGGTCTAGCACACCATCGAATAATATCAGAAGGGTTTTTGTGGATATTATAGTAATTTCAATAGTTGAGATCATGAGTCAATTGAAGCTAGACCACCATGTAAAACCTGGAAGCACTGGTCGGCTGTTTCGTCCTATTATGGGACTCCTCATCAGTGCGCATCCAAGACCCCGCTTCGCGGGACTTGAATCCAGGACCTATCGGTGCTTTCAGGTTTTCCATGGTGGTCTAGCTTCAATAGACTCGTGATCTCGACCACTGAGATTACTACAATCTCCACAAAACCCCTTTTGATACTAATCAACATATTCTCACTAGTGATTGGCGTCAAGATGTATATCCTGGAGTTCTAGTGAGAAGCAGTGACCAGTGAAGTTCAACCGGGTCAGTTGTGAGATAGTAACTCACTGACGACAATAGTGGATGTGTCGGCCAATTTCGTGGATTAGTTAAAGCTAGACATTAGCGCCGTTGAATACCGGCCGTCTCAGTGGTCTAGTAGTTAGGCGCTCACGCGCGAGACTGATAGGTCCTGGGTTTGAATCTCGCGAGGCGGGGTCATGGCTGCGTACTGCAAAGGAGTCCCACAATAGGACGAAACAGCCATCCAGTGCTTCCATGTTTTCCACGATGATCTAGCTTCAATTGACTCATGATCTCGACCGCTGAAATTACTACAATCTCCACAAAACCGCTTCTGATAAGAAAGTGTGTTCAATAAATGTTCATCTAAATTTCAGTGTTCATTCTTCCAACTGTATTATATTTTGTTTTCATTTTTTCAAAAAATAACTATTCATTAACTATAGTGAAGACGAGCCAATAGCTGCACGTTTACGAGGTAAAACACGTGTCTCTTATACGGGAACAAAAACTTCAATGTAAGTTTTCATTATTGTTGATTTAAACATTAGTATTACACGTTTCCAATGTTATGTAGACATTTATGTGCATTGATGCTAGAAAGTATACTCTAGAAAAACTTCTGCTATTATACTATTGTGATGTATGCCACTGATGTCAATAGATATAAGTAGTATGTACCACCAATCGAAAGTCGAATGTCTGGAGGCAGAAGATTAAGATCGAAGAGAATGAGAACAGAGGGTGATTGGTGTGAAACGAAGAAACAATTTAGTCTGAGACAATTGAGTGATATTTTGTAAATGAAGTATTTACCATATGGTTCTCAGATTCTAGTAAGACATTCTGTAATTTTGTGTTCAAATACATTTGGTTGTGCCCCACTGGTGTTCTCGTTCACTACACTGTGCTACCATGCTCTGTTTGGGCGTCCGGGCGGTATTCCATCCCTCACACAAATCGAACCATTTGTGTGGCGCATATATATTTGATGCCTCCATATACTAATGTTTGTAAGTACATGCACAGTTCTGAAGTTATGTATGCAGTAATAGTGTAATATTTCCCTCTATAAATCAGCGTTTCCTACTGTTTCATTTTCACGGTTTCAAAAGAAGTAGTAGTGTAGTGAACGAGAACTCAGTTTTAATGCACAATTGTACAGTTGCTAAGCAAAATATGGAAATTATACATTAAGTACGCCATTTGCACATCTTTGCAGTGTCCTTTACGTACTTCATTATTCTTCTGATTCTGTTGTTATCTCGGTTGCTGTCCGATTTCCTTCTTTTTCTCTTCATTTCAATCTTCTGTTGGCAGGCCTTCCCTTTCCGACTGCTGCTACATACTACTTATGTCTGCCAACATATGTAGCATACACTACTGTAATAATGAAGAAAAGAATTATTAATACACTTGACTAGGTTAAGATATTTTATAGACTCTAGAATCTAAATGCTTACTTAATCTTATAAACAGACAAACATTAAATAAAAGTCAATACTTCTTAGTTGCCTATTGTAATCAACCAAACGGTCATACACAATACCTATGGTCATTATTGTTTAAAATACTGTTATTCTTTCTTTCTATAAAGAAATCTGTTATTATTTTATTTTATCAGTTTTATTAAGGAAATGCTATTTCACATTGGTTTAGTTAATATGTCAGTCAGCTACAACGTAGGACCAGGCACATATATGCATCGGTCCAATTTGCCATACCTCATTAACACAACAAGATGAACACCGAATTCATAGTAGTTAAGTCAATGGTAATAATATATAAAAGAAAGATTGCATATAAGGATATAGTACAGTAAGAAAGAATTAGTTGGTAGGAAGAAAGATATGAAGCGATTTTAATCTCATAGTTTAAGAGAATATAGAGAGTGTATACACCGACATCATTGTGATCGATTCTGAGCCATGTCACCAAGAGTCTACAATCATTGGTTACGATAGTCACGATAGTTAATATATAGTAACTTTTAAATATATGTACACTTATATATCTATCATTAAGTGAAAATTGTTTTTTACATGTTATCGTATAAACATTCAATGTAGTCTTTTTCATAATAAATGTTTTAATTTGGTAATATTATAAATAGTATATTCCTAAAATGATCATAAATAATCATTAAAAACTTGTTATGCTCGTATGATTTTGATATGATTGAAAAGATTTATAGGTCAGGTAGATAATTTCAATGAAGTTTTGTTATCTAAGCTGGGTGGTTTATGATAAGTTTTCCAACTGTACACTTGAATCAGTTTCCTAAATTTTTTTTATAACCCCAGACTAAAGTGTACACATTTATTATTTATTTAAACACATGAATATCGGTACAAAGAGGTACCAAATAGTTATGCGCCACATAAATCATTCGATTTGTATGAAGGTTGGGATACTGCCCGAGTGACCAAACCGAGGCAGGTAGTTTTCTTAGGGGGGCCACACCCGGAACGTTTTACCTAAAGGTCTGATTCACAATGTAGTACAGCAACGTCAGGAGATGCAGTCCTATGGTAGCTGGTGACCAATGATTGGTTCATACGACCTTTATCCTTCAGGATACCGGAGCCCATGTGCACCATTAGTTTGGAATCACGTTGTCCAACTCCCCTAGGTAAACTCTGTATCCATCAACCCGGTTAAAGTTCCGGACATAGGCTTTTCGTCCTCTGAATTTCGTAAACAACAGTAATGCCGCGAGAAGGCAGTGAGTAGGACTTCCCTGTTAGTGGTTGTATGCATGTGGCCATGTGAGATCATTTGAAGCAGGTGGGCTGACTCCGTACCGTCGGCCGTACCAGGGCATCTGGGGTCTACGAGAGAAAATGCGCAAAGTGTGAAAAGAACCCTTTGCTCCAAGATTATTTATGCACAGGGAATCGTGGGTATTCATAGTATTTCAGATTGCCTTGTGTTTCTGGTAGTTTCTGGATCCACCATACTGAACATAGTATCAGTATAGGCAATTATCCAATCAGAAGTATGACATGCAATTCTTCACTTACTAGATGTTTCTGAGAAACTTCTATTCAATTCTGATAGGATAAAATGTTTTCCAGTGTTTTCAGTGCCCATTTCTTGAGAAATACATTTGATCTCCTTAACACCTTTCTTCTTTCACAAAATAAAACTTCATCTTAAGATCTAATTGCTATATCCATTTGATAAAGTTCACTTTTACTACCCTAATATACTGATGATTTTTGATTCAATAATATAATGAATTTTGCATGATTAAACTATCAAGTTTAGGGAAAAAACTTCATTTAAACATTATTTGGTTCGTTTTTTTTAAAACTTTATAACTTAACCAACTTAATTCTGTTATTCTTTTCATTAATTTATATAGGTAAATAATAGTATATAACTATATATATTCTGTACAAAGTAAATTGAAATCATACATTTATCTCTATTCAATAGTTATCTTGTCATTCCAAATTACAATGTTTACATTTTCCTTTCTCCATGTATCTATTTACATTTGTAGTTATAACTAATTATCTTGAATGAATCATACTACTTATAGGTTAATTTTGTTATATTCATTCCATTCCATTCATTTCTTCTCTTCAATTATTATCTCTCTTTTCTTGAATGTATACTTTTGCATAGATTTGCTTTTGTACTTTCTTTTTCTTCTCAATTTTACAATAGGATAAAAATATACTACTTTTTTTAACATAATGTTTTCCATTTACATTCGGTTTATACAAAAAGGTAATTTTTGTTGTGTTTGTGTGTGAGAGAGAGAGCGGGAGAGAGGGAAGAAATTGTTCTGATCTGTTTAAGATTTTTATTTCAGTAGTTGGAATCATGAATCAATTGAAGCTAGACCACCATGGAAAACCTGGAAGCACTGGTCGGTCGTCTCGTCGTGGTATGGGACTTTTCAACAATGTGCGTCCACAATCCCGCCCCCCCCGCGGGGGGGACTGACTTCAAGAGGGATTTCCTGGAGTCCTAGTGAGAAGCTGTTACCAGTGTAGTTCAACAAGGTTTGTTGTGAGATATCAGCTTACTGAAGACAATGGCGTACGGTGGAGCAATTTCGTGGATTGGTCGAAGTTAGACATTAACACCGTTGGATGCCGGCCAGCTCAGTGGTCTGATGGTTCGGCGCTCGCGCCCTTAACTGACAGGTCCTGGGTTCGAATTTCGCGGGGCGGGATCGTGGATGCGTACTGTTGAGGAGTCCCATACTAGGACGAAACGGCCGTCCAGTGCTTCGAGGTTTTCTATGGTGGTCTAGCTTCAATTGACTCAATTATTGAAATTTCTAAAATCTCCACAAAATCCCTTCTGATTTTAGATTTTTACTATCAGAAAAAAACTCGATTTATTTCAGTGTAGTATGTCTTCTGTTTACAATTGTTTGGTCACAAATGTCATGTTTTGCTAGTCTGATTTTACTACTGACAGAATTTTACTTATCAACTTACGATGTAGTCACCAGTTCAAGTGCATGCGATGTCAAGTCACTGTGTTGAGATGTAAGGCGGTTGAAGGTAGTCTACAAGAAACCCTGGTTTCATAATGTTCGCCTGTCTTCACCAAGATGTTGTAATCTTGAGGGAACTGATGCTTCTTGGCAGATCCAGTCCTTTATCACTCAGTTTCAAAATCGGAGACATTACTACTGGGCTGTTCAAACTTCGAATAACCAACTATAGGAACAAAATGTATATCCTCAAGTTTACAAGTACACTGCTAATGAATTCCAAATAGCAAAAACCTCATGTTCATGATCTCCTGTCGATTACTTTGATTCACCTGACACAGCTGCCATTTGTAGTCTGGTTATTAATGCGTCTCACTTGTCTCAGATGGAAATCATGAGAATGAATCAATAACTAATAGAACACAATTGATAATCGTGTAACAACCTTATTAAAACTGTGGGTCGTGTTTGTGTGTTGTTATTTGAACACCGTTGTATTAAAAACGTATATTTTCCAATTAGCGAGCTAAAGTATAACTATATTGAATCTTTTCCATCCAGCCTGTTTTACTACATTTTTTATCAAACCATGCTAACTGACGAGTGAGGATAAATTCCATTCTCATTCACAATTTTGACGTTGCACCTGGAAATCAACCAAAATGAAGCGAGAATTATTATTTACACTCTTGTAATTCACTATTTGTCGTTTTTCCTGGCTCACATGAAAAATGTAAAGTTTTCTACGGCGAAACTAACACTCAAACATGCTACGGAGGTATTCAATGTTTGATAGTCGGTCGTGACGGAAGAAAAATCACAGTATGGCAAAAGTCATATTGACGCCTGTCACCCCTCGTGGAGGAGCATAGGCCATCCACCAATATTCTCCATCCATCCTTTTCAGTCCCCATTCATCATTTTGACGTCTGCTTCCGATTCCCGATGTAGTGCGTTCTTCGGTCTCCCTCTTTTTCATTTCCCTTCAGCATTCCAGGTAAGTGCTTAGCAAAAGACATACCTCCAATTAATTCTATAATAGACATTATCCCGAATTATCTACAATTGATTGACCAAGTAATTGTAAGCATAATCGCAGTTAACGACTAAGATACACTTAAATGACTTGGAGATGTCTATCTCCAGCTCTAAATGACTGGTCGTTTGTCTGGAGTAAAGAAGCTGACCGTGTTTTCAACTATTTGGCATTGATACATGCTACCTAATTACAATAAGTAGTATAAAATGTAATACAAAACATTTGTAGTAGAATTCAAGTTGTTACAAATCGTAAATCAATGTAACGTACCAAGTAACTAAAGGTTCTTTAGGATTCAAAACAAAATGGAATTGAATAACAGAATTTTAAAAAATCAGGGTACTTTTGTTAATTATTGGTTCTATTTCAGACTAACATTCCTATAAACTTGTAACGAGTGTAGACAACAAAGGAAAACCTTGTGCGCGATTGTTTGTTTGACCGTGGAAAAAGACTTGAGAATACTTAGCGACAGTTGCTTATGTGTTGGATTACACAGTGTAAGACAACAGGGAATGAGCTACAGTGAAGTTTACTTTCCATTTGTTAATAAGACACAACAACTTGAAGTTTCCAATAAGTAGAGTAGTCTATCCACTCAGCTACTTCACTTTCTATCGTTAGACTAGGTATTGACGTAGATCAGTTCTGAAGAAGTATTTTATATAAAGTAGGGGAGAGAGGCAACCTAAAGGTTCTTTCATTGTCACTTAAGGCGCTCAAAAGTCTTTTATGTCTGTATATTCTAGGTAGGTTAATGAGTCTTCATGTAATAGATCAGACCCTAACAAAGTGATTTGTTTTGTGACATATCTATAGCAAAACTTGATAAAATGATAGCGAGCAACTCTGTCTTATCTTCCCAAAATATCACATTAGAACCATGAAGCAAAAAATATTCCAACCGAAATAGGTCTATTAGCTCGTCATGATAGTCAAGTTCAATCATCGCGTTAAGGTAGTTAAGGCGGATGGATGTTCCTCACTGTGAATTTGCGTCATATTTCTTAATCAATCATTAATACTCTAACTGCTACTTTTTACAATGGTCATTATTTAAAAAGGTTTCACAAGCTAGTGGCTTTTAGAGAAATCCATACTTTACAAGTGAGTTTTTTATGTCGGTGAGTGTTGAGACAGTCAACTATCTCCACTTCATATTCAGAAAAGCAGTCATTTTAATAACTGGTCAGTAGTAATTGGAATTAAATTAGCCTATAAGTACACCACATAGCAGCTATTTTCATCAATTTAAAATGTTTATTCCAGTTAAAAACTGCACGTAAAATCACCAAATTAACTCAGGTGAAATGTTTTAGTCTGTCAATAGGAGGATTATAAGCAAAGTTGGATCGTGACTAGCAGTGGAATTTGGGAGGCTAGTTTCGTCCTGTTTGAAACTTGTCAACATCCCAGAGTTGTTGTTCACTTCGGGACTCGAGACTGATCAACATGAGTGGGAAGATTCAGACAAACAATACAAAAATGTATCAATAGTAGGGTTTCGTAAAATCATACAAATAAATTTAGATTGCGTTTATAACGTCATTAAATAAGGCCACAATTTTGTAGAATTAAGATTCTCACATCACATATGTACTATCGTAATTTAGTTCAAGAATGAATTATTTTTTTCTGGTTAGCGTTTTCTTAGCGAGTTAGTTTTCTACGGGATGAAGTTGCTAACCCAATGCCAAAGCTTCCTCCTTTATCCAGTCTTGGGACCGGCAGTAGCTTCAGAGGGGCTCCAGGCGGAGCTTAAAGCAGTTTACTCATAAACCAAATCAAACAGTATATAATTTAACTCTCTGAAGTCTAAATAATATGAAATCTAATTGTCTGAAATGCTTATTGTAATAACTTGTGGGCTTGTGTCCCTATCAATGTATAAAGTGATGATACAGCCAATCAGAGAACAGTGAATTATAGACCGGACCAATGATGCATAAAACCCGTTCGAGCAGTCTAGAGTCTCAATCGGATCTTCTTCCTTAGCCCTGCCTGTTAAGTCCGGAATAGCAATCTCAGCTCCCGCGATATAAATCATTTATTTAAAACATACTGGGTTTATATACCAACCAAACAGACCACATCGTACCATAAAATAGGTAACAACATTTATACATGATGTAGCCAAAAGTGGTTGTGAATAGGGGTGATTGTAATTGATAGACAGGGCATAACTCAAGAATGGTAAATCGTATAATAATAGTCTATGGGTTAAAATAAAGCTTATAATAAGAGGGACTTGATTATGAATAGTTTAGTTACATGACAATTATACGATAAAAATATACGTTTAGCATTGGTCCATAAATGGATCCCAAAAGTTACCACTTATTATTCTCATCGGGACATAACACTTATAGAAACGGACAAATTTCCTGTCAAATATATAGTAAATAAAATACCATTACATTATTACTATATGGCAACTGAATGAAAATCAACTTGGTGTATACGTCAAAATGATTAATTTCTGTTGAATATTTTACTATTATGAGGTCTATTTGAAGATTATCTTGACCGGAAGACCTTTTACAACTATCTTTTTATTATTAACTCAAGAAATCAATAAGAATGGAAATTTCATCCATATGGAAAATACGACCTGATTTACTTTATCACTCTTATGTAATAATTATTGAACAAGAAAGGAATCAATGTTGGGTAGAGACAGGTATCTACCTCAGTACAATGGAAGATGGTCGCGCGATTTCGTGGATTGGTTGATGTTAGGCACTATCACCATTGGATGCCGGCTCAGCGGTCCAGTAGGTTAAGCGTTCGCGCACGAGACCGAAGGCCCTGGGTTCGAATCTCGTGGGGTGCGGGATCGTGGATGCGCACTGCGGAGGAGTCCCACAATAGAACGAAATGGCTGTCCAGTGCTTCCAGGTTTCCAAAGGTGGTCTAACATCAGTCGGTTCATGATCTCAATCAAAAACCTAATAATCTCCACAAACCCCTGTACTAGTAAGAAAGGAATAATTATTATTAATGATAAATTATCGGTAGATTTCATGGTTTATGATCAAATTTTGTTTTGAAGTAAGAATATATACTCATATTATATGTTATATTTAGAAGTTTCGATCAAATTTTGAATTCAAGGCATTGCGGTGTATGTTCATTTCAGTAATAATAGTTACACTGATATAGCAGTCTGCTTTAGAAACGATTATAGGAGCTGGTACTATGTCA